CTTTGGATTTGAGACTTTAGTCTTTGCAACTTTACAGATCTTCTTTATGCACCAAGAGCTTGTAACACTCCAAAGAGAAAGGAAAATTTTCAATTGCATCATAGGACCCCTTTAAGAGTAGGTGCGGCCATTTTAAACTTGAATGTGCGAGGCTTCCGGTCTCATTCGTTTCCAGGTATTTTAGCTGTACAGAACAGTCTGTTATGATGCAAACTAGTATTTCTTATCATGTAATTTTAATTCATCATCTTTGGTTTGCAGGTCAGATAGTTTTACCGTTCACAGCTGCTAGTTATGTAGTGGCTTATGAATCAGAGATCTCGCACATTCAAAGAAAATACCTAAAAAAGTGTCTGCTAAATGAATAAATGTAAATATAGCCTATAACTGTTAAAATCTAAAAGTTACAAACTGTAAAGATAAACAATCAGAAGAAAATTACATTTTGTCCCCTAAATTTTGCTTATGCTTGAGGCAGAAAGTTTTATCCCTGATAGTAGGCTACATGTACATCACAGAGACCTATATTTGACGTCTGCAAGACGCATTTTTTAGTGTTTGCACATCTGCATCTGCAATACTTCCTATCAGATGTCAAATGGACGTTTAGAAGATGTCTTTAAGATGTTTATGATTTAGAATGTATGTAAAACTGACATCTTAGAGACGTCTATTAGATGTTTGTACACAGCAGATGCTTTCCAGATGAAGCGATCTTTAACAGACATCTTGCAGACATACATGTGCTATCTGGGATGAAAAATACTGGAATGACTTCAATTAGTGTAGGCTACTACACCTGTTGCATGCACTGAACAAAAAAACACGGATAGCATAGGCAAGTGCATTCCTTTGGAGAGAAGTTCTCAAGAGCAAAGTGCAGGACGAGTAAGGTGCTACGTTGCTTGGGCGAATAACTCCAAATAAGAACTCTATTGTTGCATGAAAAAAAGTTTTTAATCTGGGGATTTAAAGTGGATCACATGCCCTGACTGAACACCAGCGGCACGAGAGCACGCGCATTCCACAGCAGCCTCTCGCGCGTCGTTTGTTTTCCTCGTCAAGAAACCCGCAAACAGAAAACATAGTGAGAAGATATCGAGGAAAAGTGGTTCAACATGTCATTTTAGATGGACTACTGTTTGTTTATGTAGCAAATCGGACATTTAGTCACTGTCGGACATGACGCATTCTTACAGTCAGCGTTCTCTCGTGGTACTCGCGTTTTTAGGGATTTTATCCGCAATAATGTCCGTATTGTCCGTCATTTTGATCTTCCAGCTCCAAACGCAACAGGCTGTTATAAAGGATTCGCCTATTTTCGGGTCGAATGAGATCACAGCTGTGTTAATGGCCGTTTCTACGGTCCTCTCAGCCTTGTCTCTGACACTCAACTTGAGCTCAGTTGTTGTGTGTTTGCTTCACAGCTATTTAGCTACTGAAATATGCCGAGGAGAACCAGATACACAAAGGTAATGGAGAAACTTACTTCTGTGAACAAACTTAATCAGAATCTCGAACCAAATGAATGGCGTTTATTTGAAAGAAAGATAGTACACGCACAATTTTCTAGCAGCACTTTACCCAAAAAGAGTTTGTTTCAAATGATAATAGTTGTAAAACTATTTTTGTTTTTGGTTGTTGAACATCAGTGGAACATATTTGTAGTAAATGTGATGAATCTCACTGGACTAAAAATCACATTTAAAGTCATTGAGAGAAGAAAAAAAAGTTAGTTCTGAAAAAAATGCATCCAAATACGTTTGGGGGCCACACTGTATAGCAAAGGTTGTTGGCATTTACTGAACTTTTGAATTTCACATTGACCTCCAGAACCACTTGTTCAGATATAAACCAGGTTTAACATTTTAAATGATTTCCAATTCAAATAACAGCATGTTGCTTATTCTAGTAGGTCTTTGAAATCAGTCTATTTCTTTTGCAAATCAAGGCCTTGCTACAAGTCCATACAACAAGAAATGATCTCAGTTTTTTGCTTCTATCCTAAGGGCCGACTGGTTTCTATTGGATAGCAGGGTTGTCCGGCATGTAACCATTGGGCTGTTTTGCCTTGGAGTTTCAGTTTACTTAGCTGGTAAGTGCTACACAAAAAACACATTGAAGTCATGTCATGAATTATATTTAAAAACTTTAATCATTAGATTATATGAGTATATACACATTTACAGATCAGTTACATTGTCCTCATTACACCAAATGAAAAATTTACAAAATGTGAACAAATTCTAACCAAAACACATAAAGCAGCTTATAAATATCATATGTCCATCCGTAAATCTTTTATGCCTTTTTTTTGTAAAATTTATTTTTTTACTAATGGCTCTTTAGTAAGGAAGCCCATTTCTGCCTCAGAATAAAAAAAAAAGGTGGTAATCGTGACTTTATTTCTTGCAATTGTGACTTAAATCTAACAATTTTGAACTTAACTTTTCCCTTAGAGTTGCAACTTTTTTTCCCTAATTGAAATGTTACATTTCCTGATTGTGTATTTAAATTTTATAACGTTACATTAAATCTTGCAATTGCAATATGTGACCCTGGACCACAAAACCAGTCAATTTTTTTGAAATTGAGATTTATACATCACCTGACAGCTGAATAAATAATCTTTCCATTGATATTTGGTTTGTTAGGATAGGACAATATTTGGCCGAGATACAACTATTTGAATATCTGGAATCTGAGGGTGCAAAAAAAAAAATCAAAATATTGAGAAAATCTCCTTTAAAGTTGTCCAAATGAAGTCCTTAGCAATGCATATTACTAATGATAATACATTTTTGATATATTTAAGGTAGGAAATTTACTAAATATCTTCATGGAACATGATCTTTACTTAATATCCTAATGAGTTTTGGCATAAAAGAAAAATCGATGGTTTTGACCCATACAATGTAATGTTGGCAAATAACAACAAATATACCCGTGCTACTTATGACTGGTTTTGTGGTCCAGGGTCACATATTTTCTTTGGAGTCGCAACGTTATATCTCCCAATTGTGACTTTAAATCTTGCAACTGCAATATATTCCTGGAGTTGCAACTCCCGATTGTGACTTTATATCTCACCATATGAATTTATTTCTTATTTTAAATTCAAAATTACCTTTTTTATTTTTTAAATTGGTTGTGGAAATGGGCTTCCATACTTTAAAATAGCAATCAGTATCAATATGAAGTGGTGGTACCAAGTGAATATAGTATATATTTTCATTCAGGTCTTCCATCAGTTTATATCCCAGAGCTGTGCTTTTCTCCTCCATCCTTAAGCATGCCAGGATCCAAAGCTCTTTTTCTGTAAAAAAAACCAATACATTAGTGTATAGTCATCATTTATCAGTCATAGCATGGAGTGATTTGACATGAATATTTAATTTTTTTTCCATTCACAGCCATGTCTATTTACATGTTGTTGGTGTTAGAAGTTGAGACGGGCATAGCCAGTGTGTGCGTGCTCTCCTCTGGTGTTCTCGTCCTGCTATTTATCATTATCCACTCCCTAATAAGGGCCGCACATACAGCCAAACAATTCCGCAATGAACATGCCCACACCATGTACCACAACAACCCTGAAAACATTGCTGGAATCCGTACATCTAACCCAAGCATTACAGAAAAGCCAAGGAGGCAACACAGCCTGCACAGCCATTTCATCAACCCCACTCACATCGATCCTAAATCACTGTACTCGCCATCCAACGGCCCTCACGGTCACTTTGGTGATAAGGATGGCTACGGTGGCGGTGGGAGCGGAAGGACGCACCGGACACTTTCGACAGAGTCCGGCCTGTTTCAAGCACAGGCCAAACCCTGGAACGGGGTCAACAGTGAGATGAGATCTGTACTTGCTCGTAAAGCCACGATCAAGGATTCAACTTTAGTATGAATGGTAACACATCTAGTTTGGTGTCAAGATGGGCATTATGTAATACAGTATGTGGTTATATTTCATGTGCATAATATATATACACACTTGAGTTTGGAATAAGTCTCTAAAAAACACTGTAAAAACTGTAATATTGTGAAATATTACAATTTAAATAATATATTAAATATTTTATATTAAAATGTGACACTGGAATAATGATGCTGAAAATAAAATTTTGCCATCACAGGAATAAATTACATTTTAAAATATATTTAAATAGAAAACAGTTATTTTAAATTGTAATAATATTTCATAATATTACTGTTTTTACTGTATTTTTAATCAATTAAATGTAGCCTTGGTCAGCATAAGAGACTTCTCTTCTTATAAATGCTGTGTGTCTGTAGACACACAATAGTCTTAGAAGTCAGACAAATAATTAATGACATTTAAAGCAAAATATGTATTTTAAAAAATCTGACTGTTTTTGTACACCTAATATCAACTTACAGGTGTTAGAAGTCACATTAACTGAAAAAAAGGTTAAATAATATTGTGAAATTACTACTGAAATACTTGAAAATTTGTGTAGCTGTTATAGGGTAATTACTCTTTTCTTGTTTTTTGTTGCTAAAAAATACATATATGTTTTGTATATTCAAAATCCTGCCGTAAACGATTGATACAGAAAAATAAAATTTTAAAAGTTGAGATGAAAAATGACATTCTTAAATTACATATACCACATAATAATTAAATAACTGTGTGGGAGAAACCAAATTGAATTGATTTAATAGTACAAGATGTTTTATATGCAACTTACGTACATAAACCAGCTGTAGAAAGAATCAAGAATGAAGCAAAACTAACCTTGGAGAAAGATTTCCATGAGTCAAGGTGGTGTGACTGAAGTGTGTGTGGGTGTATCGTTTGGATTAATTGCAGGTTTCACAGAACTGAAGTGACATGTTTAAAAACAGAAAAAGTGAGCAAATTAAAAGTGAAGCAAACGAGCAAAGAAAAAAAACAGTAAGCCAATGTCACATTTAACAGTGAAGTGATATATATATATATATATATATAAAACAACAACAACAACAAAAAACAGTAATAATAATGTTAATGCATGTAATTGCATTAAAAATGGAAGTGACTACAACCTTCGTCCCTGTGAGCTGCTGATCTGTTCCTTCAGTGAAATGGCTTGCCGGACCAGACCGTCTATGTTCTTGAAATAGAGACTACTATTTGTCATGCTTTTCACAGCACTGAAAGACACCCACACACACACACACAAAAACCGATATGAAGCACATTAAATACAATACTGCATAATATAAATCATCAATTTATGTAATGCATATCTTACCTGCATGCATATTCAACAGTGTAGATTGCCCCTTGACTTTGTTCCTCCCAACTCTGCATGTCTGTCTACAAATTCACAATTCATCATGACACTTCAGTCAACTTGCTAATATAATAATAATAAATATATATATTTCATTTATAATGAGCTTTTCTCATACCCAAAGAGCAAAAATACAAATATAAAAGAAATACAATAACCAGCAATGATAAAGCAAAATAAATACAAAACATCTACATATTTGTCCACACAAATTCATAATTACAACATTTAAGTCAACTTGCTAATAAACTAATGATAATAATAATAAATGTTATTTATAATGCAATTTTCCCATAACCAACGTGCTACAAAAAATACAAATAAAAGACAATAAATAAAAATAAATAGACAACACCTGCATGTCTGTCTACAAATGCTTCTATTGTTCTCCTCATTTGTAAGTCGCTTTGGATAAAAGCGTAATTCATTACAACACTTAAATGATTAGTTCACTTCCAGAATAAAAATGTACTGATAATTTACTCACCGCCATGTCACCCAAGATGTTCATGTCTTTCTTTCTTCAGTCACAAAGAAATGAAGGTTTTTGAGGAAAACATTCCAGGATTTTTCTCCATATAATTGACTTCAATGGGGGCCAATGGGTTGAAGGTCCAAATTGCAAATTGTTTCAATGCAGCTTCAAAGGGCTCTACACGATCCCAGCCGAGGAATAAGGGTCTTATCTAGCAAAAAGATTTGTCATTTTCTTAATTTTTAAAAAATTCTATACTTTTTAACCACAAATGCACATCTTGCACTAGCTCTACGTTGTGCGTCTGCAAATTCACGCATAATGTAATCACGTTGGAAAGGTAACACGTGGTTAGCTATTCGTCTGTGTACTCCGGTTCAAAAAGGCAGAGTAGGGTGGAAAACTCCATTTCATATTCTCCTCCAACTTCAAAATTGCCCGACATCGTTGTTTTACCTTTTTTGACTTTCTTTACACGTTTGCTTTGTAAACACTGGGTCGGTACGTCTGTCTGACCTTTCTAACATAATTACGTAATGCATGAAGTCGAGCTAGTGCAAGACGAGTTTTTCAGTTTTTTTAAGAAAATGGCTGATCGTTTCGCTAGATAAGACCCTTATTCCTCGGCTGGGATCGTGTAGAGCCCTTTGAAGCTGCACTGAAACTGCAATTTGGACCTTCAACCCATCGGCCACCATTGAAGTCCATTATATGGAGAAAAATCCTGGAAAGTTTTCCTCAAAAACCTGAATTTCTTTGCGACTGAAGACAGAAAGACATGAACATCTTGGGTGACATGGGGGTGAGTTAATTATCAGTAAAGTTTTATTCTGGAAGTGAACTAATCATTTAAGTGTTGTAATGAAATACGCTTTTATCCAAAGCGACTTACAAATGAGGAGAACACATGGAAGTGAACTAATCCTTTAAGTCAGCTTGTTAATGTAATTTTTATAAATTGTATTTATAATGTGCTTTTACCATACCCAAAGCACTACAAAAAATAAAAACGTAAAAGACAATAATATAACAACAACAAAACATGACATAAAATAGAACAGAAAAAAAACAATCACCTTATTAAAAAGCTTAAGTCAAACTAATAAGTGTAGGCTATTTTGAAAATATGAGTTTTTAACAGTTGCTTTTAAACATGAAATAATAAATCAGTAATTTACACAGTATAACATTGTTTTCCAGCCAAAAATAGTATTTATAATTTACAAATATAGATTATAATGTGAATTGGGATTCTAATATGGCAGCTCAAATGTTAATTATTCAGGCAAGTATCTTTCAAAAAACATTACAGTGTTTAGGCAATTATATTGTCTGTATTACTGTAATATAGGCTGGGCAATATAGATGAAACACACTAAAATAACGCACCTTGTGTTGTACGAGCTCTGGCAGGGATCTCCTGACATGCTCTTGCAACCTGTAAAGCGCTATCGACGGTTCATTGGCCAACACATACATGCTCTCTGTGAATTTATCAGTCACTGTAGTAGAAATAAACAAAACACGTGATCAGTGTCTTTTCATCAGGTGCGTAACAAATTATCTGTAATCTCAAATCAGACTATCGACGAGACACTCCTAAATAACGCGTCTAATAAATTCAGTAATGTAAATTAAATATTAAAGATCATGCATACACAAGTACACTAAGTCGTTGTTGATTATAGACATAAGAACTCTGAATCTATCCGTGGTAGCCTACCTCTTTTTACTTTCAACTGCATTTCTTGGTCCTCCATCTTTATTAAATATTAACGTATGATCTAAATGTATAAATTTCCTTATGAAAGCGCAGCTGTTCCCCTTCAATAACTTCATCCGGAGGAACACCAGGCCAGTAAGTAGTTCCTAGCCACTAGTTCTGGGCATTACGATTCATGTCAGTGACTCGACTCTTTTGAATCGGTTCACCTATAAGATTAGTGCGTTCAGTGGCCCTTTCTGCAGATGTTTACGCAGGTAACGAGTCATTGAACGATTCGTTCAAAATACCGAGTCGTTCATAACTGAAATAAATCGTATTGAAATTAACGTGTTTTTTAAAGTCTACTGAGAAATCACAGAAAGATATACGCATTGAAGCATCATATGCGTTTTCCCCACAAAAGACAACAAAGAAGATACTATTTTTTCTTCCAAATATTCCACTATTTAGGAAGCTGATGGGCTGACTGTTGTGAACTACAATGAAAAAGACAACAAACATTAATAAATAAAGGTAGATAGACAGACAGATTAAAGCACCTACTCAATGAAGGGGCGTACTGATCAGATTCAACCAATGAAATGCTCCTTCCCAGCCCGCAAGCCAGTAAAGCAGTCACGAGTTTCAAAGAGTCAGTACATGAAACTGAACTAAAACGATTCTTTAAAGATTCGTTCAACCCCCCCGACTCGTTCATGAACATCACTTACAGCTACTGTTCCAACTCCAATAGTTAAGAAAGATGCGATTAATTTCGCAGCCAAAAGTAAAATATATATATTATGAGAAAGGTAATGTTTCATACGATATCATTAAATAGAGTTTGAGTTTGTTGAGCTCAATGCAAATGCAAGACTCCTATTTCAGTTTCACTTTTGCAAACGAATCAGGAAACAAAAGCAGCATATTCGATCTTACGAGCCTGTGAAGTTTAAGATCATGTTTTTTCATAAAGTGTAAACAATCGAAGGTAAGATTCTCCTAAGACATATTTTCTTATTTTATATTAGTATTATTAACTAATCATGCACAATAATTGGCGCTAATCTTGTTTATTATCTTGTTATTATTTAATCTGAATCGAAGGTAAGATTCTCCTAAGACATATTTTCTTATTTTATATTAGTATTAACTAATCATGCACAATAATTGGCGCTAATCTTGTTTATTATCTTGTTATTATTTAATCTTGCATATTATTTCTCTATATTGCGTACATTTAAATCAGGTTTAATGATAAGTGATTATGGAAAACCGACATGACGAGAATGCTGTAAACCATTCCACCACTCTGACGAATAAACAGCGTGGGAATGAGGTCACAGTCCGACCGGCCACTTTAGACAGTGAGTCTGTCACCTCTTTCTATATACTGTTTATTAGAGGCAGATTTCAAATGCTTACATTTGAAAAATATGAAACACAGTCTTTTTAAGTATAATTGTGGCGTTTAATTATGTTTTATAGACCTCTCAATTCATCAGCTGGCAGCCCATGGAGAGATTTCACAACTGGAGGTACATTTATCCAAAGGTACCAGTAAACATCCAACACGTGCCTAAATAAAAATAAAATGAAATAGATAAATATGTGTATCCAGCGCATGCATGAATAAATAAATATGTAAGTACAGTAGAGATCAAATTTAGAGAACAGCCTACAGTTTTCTAAATTTCAAGGTCACTGCTTGCTTAGTCCTATTTAAAGTTATACTAAAAGCAGTAGAAGCGCAATTTTTTAAAGCATATTTCATAAATGAATTGTATTCTAGAGCACAATATAAAAAACTCAAATGAGATATTTGAAAAGTAACTCTGATCAAAATTAGGGAACACTTACAGATACCAATAGTTATTGGTGTTAATCTGGCACCTGGCGCTAATTTCCTTAATTATATGACATTCCCTATTTAACTGGCAACATTCCTCTAATATTCACTGAGATTAGAAGATGGCGGCCCGCTTTATGGTGATTGAAAGCTTGCGTCCAGATGAAGGTTAAAGGGATGTCCCTTTTAGCCACTGCACAAGAAGTTTGTCGTTCCAAATTTGACGTTTCTAGAATATTGCAGCTTTACAATGACACTAATTCGTTCAAGTCCTCCAAAAAGGCTGGTCGTCTACTTAAGACAAATGCATGAGAAGACAGGATAATGCGGAGACTCTCAATGGGGAATCGGTTCAACACTTCAGCTGGAATTGCTCACCAGTTCAGTGCTGAACAGGGTATGGATCTGTCTCGGCATGTTAAAGAGAAGTCGGACTAAAAGCGCACTCTGCAGTGACCAAACCTCTCATCAGCAGAAAGAATCAAAAGGCTAGGCTCACCTTTGCTGAGGAGCATGTTGTGTGGAGAGAGGAGAACTGCTCCAAAGTTCACTTTAGTGATGAGATCAAGTTTAATTTATTTAGGTCGGATGGGAAACATTATGTTCAGCATCAAACTGGGGAAAGACTGAATCCAAAGTGTGTAAAGATGTCAGTGAAAGGTGGAGGAGGAATTGTCATGGTTTGGGGGATGTTTTCTGCAGCAGGAGTTGAGCCTCTTATTCATCTACATGGCAGGGTGAATGCAAATGTTTATCAGAACCTCCTTCAGCAACATGCGGTACCTTCCCTCTAATCATCTCCCAATCAGCCTGCAATTTTCATGTAAGACAATGCTCCCCGTCACACTGCAAAACAAGTAAAGTAGTTCCTTGAAGCTAAGAAAATTTAAATAATGAAATGGCTGGTCCAGAGTCCTGATCTAAACCTGATTGAAAATCCTTGGCAACAAAGTTATGGCTATAAGAAACCCACTATAGTCACTGAACTATGGAAGATCGTGGAAGAAGAGTGGACCAAGATCACACCAGCGCAGTGTGAGAAACTAGAGGTATTCTGTCGCCACAGGTGTGCTAAAGTCACTCAAAGCAAGGGCCTCTACAATTCCTGCTAAATTCTGAGAGCTGTAACCCTCCCCAATTTTAGCTGTAATCTTCTTTTGTGCTGCAGTGGTTTCTGTTCTCTAATTTTGATCACTCTGTTTTCCACAAAATAAAGGTTTTTGTTGAAATGCCTTGGTCATTTTGTCAAACATGTTAGTGGAACAGTGGTATACCTACAGCTAATATTACTTCAAATTTTGAGCAATGAAGATTAACAATATTTCAGAAAAAAAATTAAGTATTTATAGATTGTTCTCTAATTTTGACCTCCACTGTATGTATGTATGGGTACTCTTGCAGACAGCTCTCTGCTTAACAGTCAAGATGAGCGAGGTTTCACACCACTAATGTGGGCTGCTGCATTTGGAGAGATAATGATGGTGGAGTTCCTCCTTCAGAAGGTGAGAAAGACACATTTTCTTAGCCACTAAGACTGGACAATATATAGCATTTACTTTTATTTATTTGATATAATATCAGGGAGCAGATCCGAGAACACTGGCTCGGGAACGAGAAAGTGCCCTGTCTTTGGCCAGCGCAGGGGGATTTGCAGACATTGTTAATATTCTCCTACAACATGGCATTGATATCGATTCCTATGACTGGGTATGAGCGGTTTAATTATTCTGAAAATTTTCGTAAAATTTTACAGACACTATTTAAAAAGTGAACACAACCATTAAATACTGCATTATTTTTTTTCAAATGTAAAAACTTAAAACTTTCTAACAGAATGGTGGGACCCCTCTTCTGTATGCAGTTCGTGGGAATCACATAAAATGTGTTGAAGCTCTCTTGAGTAAGTCTTTTCAAAATATTCTCACATTTTATTATTTGTGATGATGAACTAAAGTAAGTTCGTGCTTAGGATGTGGGGCAGATATCACATTTGAGGCAGACTCTGGCTACAGTCCTGTTGCTCTCGCTGTTGCATTGGGCCACAAAAAAGGCAAGAGTCATTCCTTACAGTATATTGATATAATACATTTTAAAATTATTAATTAATAACTGACAAGTCTTCCAACTTGTTTGCAGTGCAAAAACTGCTTGAAGATCACATTTTGAAGCTGTTTCGGGGACCAGTTTCAGTGTCTGACAACACATGAAGCAGAGGACTGCTCTTACAAGACCTTACACCTAACAATAAGACCCTCCTGCATAGTTTATAGCTTTATTTTGACATGGACGATGTGAAGAACTGTTTTTGTATCTTTTTAAATTAAAAAACACTTTTACAGACATGCAGTTCATGTGTGTTGACCTGAAAAGACATGTGGATATAATACATAGAGGCTCTGTAGAAACAAAGGAAATGAAATCAAAAGTAACATCAGTTTATGCTTTTCCTGTGAGTAGGTGGGAATAAATTCAACATCCAGAGGTGAAAGGAAGAGGGAAAAAAGTTGGTTGGCATTCCCGCCTCTTCATACTTCCTCTTTGTCCTTTTCTCAAAACATTACAAAACCTTTCCCCCCAGGATTTCCAATGTGTAAACAATTATTCTTCCAAAAAAGTCAGCACTGTTTTCAAACACTATTTTCAGCTTCTGAACCAAAGGGACATCTTGAATGGGAAAACTGTGGGTGAAGAATCAAGGATTTGATAAGCTTGGGATAAATAAAAGACATTGGCAATTTGACCGTCGACAAACTGCGAGAAAACAAAAGTTGTAGTAGGTTACTGTACTGGAAATGTCCACCGACTGTGACGGAGTTCAGAAGACAGTCAATCTGAGAAAATATGGTGATTTATATACCTGCATTTATCTAAGTTGATGCGAAAATGACAAAAGGTGGCGATTGCTGAAGAATAACATTGCACCACATGGAAGGATATTTGTAGACAGTTGTTGTCCTCTGGATAGAAGTCTACAATACGTTTGAGATCCTCTTCTTTGGCAGAACCTGTAGAAAACAAAACATTTAAATGTCTTTTATTAATTATTATCTCTTTATTTCTGAAAATTGTTGGTCGTTCGTAGGTGCGAGGCCACAGCCCCGCAGATCAACATAGTAGTGATGTTTCAGTGGTGAAGGAAGCAAAGTTTATCCATGAATCAGTTGAATGAATAATTCAATGACTCGCCCATTAAGGCTGTCACTTTTTTGGTACGTAAATGAATCATAGTTTTTGAACGAATCTGTTGAATATGATTAATGACTCACTAAAAAATAGGCATTAATTTGGCACCACATTACTGGCGTAAGCTGCAGAAAGAATCAAACTAAAACCCCCGACCTTCAGATTTCCATTAATCGTAATAAGCCCAGGAACACATAGGCTATTAAGACAGGTAAATTTTAAATTGTACAAAATAAAACAAAAACACATAAAATAAGTTCATGAAAATATTCGCAATGCTTCATGGGAGTGGGCGGTAAACTTTTTGCCGCGATTTCGGGTTTTCATGGCAACAGCGATTTTGCCTTTGTAGCACATAGGTTTTTAAAACATTCTTCAAAATTACAGTATATTATTCCATCAACATAAACATAAACCGTCCCTTAACAACCTCGGAGCTCATGGTAAGTCCGTATTTCAATGTTTTATCGCTAAAAGCTGTTGTTTGAGTTGACTGACCTTCTAATTTGCAAGATTTCCCCGAAAACCCTCCTTGGAACTGTATCCTGAGCTCAAACACCTTCACAGGCTGTGGAAACTCCAAGACAACCCACTGGGATTCACCCTATTTTTAAAAATAAGTTGGTAAAATGGGTTACGAGGATGAGAAACCCACACTAAACGTCGCACCAGCTCGGCCAAATTACCTGGTCAGAATTCCAGCACGTCTCCTCATTGGAATCAAACATGAACTTCTTTCCAAACTGTTTGACATCTCTGTTCAGCACAGAACTCACCCTGTATTTGACAGAAACACATTTTATGTTTGAATCTACTGCATTGATATAGCATAGCAGGCCTAGCCAACAATGTGTTTTACAAAATATATACATACATTAGTATTTAGTTGTAAAAACACGTTTTTCTACCTGCTTTGCGTGTTGTCACAAATCAATGACTCCGCCATCTTCAGACCGACCTCTCAACTGTGGGCAAATGGAGACATGCGTGATTCCACGACAGTAAGGGCACGTGTAATTTGCTTCTCTGCCGCTAGATGTTAGTGTCACTCCTCAATTGCTAGGCATGAAGGCACATTTTCTTTTCTAGACTTGTTCAAGGTGCATGAAACCTACAAATCGTTTATCAAAATCCTGTTTAATTATCCACAGAATGACTGCAGTGTTCAATTTTGGGCTCTCTTCCGTGTGAACAATCCAGAATTTAAAGTAAATACAATATTTCTTCTAAATGTTATTATTTTAGAAACAGCATATCAGTGTTTGAAGGCTGTGCATCCAAACTCAACAGTATTTTTGGAATCATTAAGGTAGAAGCAGCCAAATTAGGCGGAAGCCAACATGGACGGGCTGCATCATGGCATGCCTTGAAACATGGAAATTCTTCGCTTCTGCTTTTGTTTTCCTATACTACATTTTAGTCTTACATTTTTATTTAATTTTGTATTATACGTCATTTTGGTAGTGTTAGATGTCCAAAAATCTGGAACCTGAAGCAAAACCTGCTGAGAATCAGTGTCATGGTATTGTAGTGGATGGAAATGAAACGTCAGGCCTGTTTATTAATTCTTTAATTTCTTTTGAATGGTTTTTGTGTATTTTTGAGACTTTTCAGAATAGTATCTTCTCTCTTGTCTTGCTTGCAGCAGTTGCAGCTTTAATCTAAAACTACTAGCATTTGGCTATTTTGGGAATAAATGATTGTTCTCTGTAAAGAGAAGCAAGATCAGAGTGAGAGTGATTGACAACGATTATAAATTAGCTTTCCAGCTCCAGCTTGTTTGATTAGTCTCAAGGTTTACAATCTATGGGAACTTGAGCAGATTGGCCCAATAAGAGGGCGAAGTACAATAAAACCTTAACACCACAATTTTCAGTTTGATTTTTAACAAAACTAAACTTCAAGCTGCGATTAATAATATTTGAACTCTGGAGTTATTAGACCACAAACCTTTGCTATACAGTATGTTATACACAAAAATACTATAAAATGGCTGATAAAATACTGCAATAATATATAAAAAAATACCTTATTCACTCTTTGCCAAGCTCTGCTTTAGTTACTGACCAATCCTAACTTAGCAACTGTTCCCATGTTCCATATTATAGACAAGCTTTATCTCTATTCCAACTTAAGTTAATGGAGAGTCTTTGTGTGTGGATAGTTTTTAGCTGAATTTTACAGAAATTATCCAAAAACCTCTTTCCCCCCCTGTGAATTACAACTATACATCAGCCATCATTTCCAAATGAATATTCTAAATTAGTTTCAAAGAAAATTAATTTAATGTTAATTCATTTAATTCAGGTCAGAGTATATTTCAGGTATTGATTCAGGTCAACAGAGGGCAGAGTAGTTAAAAACAACAATCACAGTAAAATCAAATTGTTCAGTATTTCAAGTTACGTGCATTTAATATGCTCGTGTAAAAGAAAATCAATATCTAAAACATTCTTTTAACTTTCACAAATTTTGTCTCTTGTAATTGCTTTCATATTAAGTTTCTTTTGTTTCATTCAACTGCCTGCTTAATTTTCCAATTTTTTTCAAGAAAATGACAAATTACATGTGTGCATCGTCACACTTCATTCCAGCTCATGTACGAGTAATATCCATTCAGTTTTTACCACTTTATGATCAAAACTTTTGGAGCTCTTTATTTCCTTCTAACAGGATGTTGTTGTTGTTTTTTCAACCGTACCCAATGGAGGCTGAGTTCACCTAAAGGTCAATTGTAATTTATTTTTATTTAATTAATTATTTTTTGTATGAACAGGTCAATCAAAGGCGAAATTTCATTGAAAATCAACAGCAACAACAAAAGAGTTTGTAGATTCAAACAGGATTGGTTGGTAAAGCATTTAAGGTGGGGTCATTTGTAGCCATTTTACAGTAAAATTAAATTTATGCAATACGTTAAGCATGAAGAAGCCACACAATCTTTTTTTATTGCTGTTAATTTTCAATCATTGCTCTGTTGAAAATCACCACTCAAATGATGATATACAGATGGATTTATTTTTGCATGCTGTAGGTTGATACGATATTCACAGACAATCAGTTATTCTGAATGCCATTTGATGTGTCACTCTGTGCTTTAAGAAGCTGAAAATGCCTCCAAATTGAAGACAAATCTGTTTGCTCTGGAGCAATTAGGGATGTGTCTGAGCCGTTCCATGGTTTTTGGCAAGCCTTGTACTTGTCCCCGGCACCAGAATTTTCTGCTTCAATATTAACGCGACTTATAATTAAACCCTTTAGGAGTGAAGCATTTGCACAATATGCTTGGCTGCTTCCGTTGCAAAGTGCAGCCGCTCGTGCTTTATTTGCTTACAACTGCAAGCAAAAGATTTCGATTATTGTTTCTCTCTTCTAGTCTTAGTGAGGTTGGCAGTCATTATTCAAGGTGAACATACGTGCTCCTGCCAGCACTAAATTAGACGAAAGATTGATGGACAGGGGAAAGAAGATTGACAAGACAAGGAAATATTCAGCATGTGCTCTAATCGTCTATTGTTTGTTAAATAGAATGCTTTCAGTTGCTAATGGATGTTTTAGTCTTTGTAATGGCAATGTTATAGGGAAATTGGCTTTAAAACGTGGTAGTCAGCTAGGTCTGTGCTTAGTAGGTGCATGTTTGACAAGCAGGTTTTTTTGTTTGTTTGTTTTTTTTGCCATTGGAGGGGAAAAAAATCACATGCAAGATCTTGTTAACACCTCTTTTTTTATTTTTTTAGACAGGAATGAGATTGATTGGAGGGATATTCTGGGTTCTATACAAGTTACAGTAGGCTCAGTCGACAACATGTATGGCCTAATGTGATTTCCACAAAAATATTTTTGATTCATCCCTTGCTTTTTTCAGGGTTACTATTAGGCACTTCCTAGGGCCAGTTCTTGGAGGATTTAAAAGCAGAAAGGTGTAGCTTATAAATGTATAGATGCACTTACATAAATTGTTCTGTTAAAACTTGTTTACCACAGGCCATTCTGTTATATACATGGCTACTCGTGTGATATTGCTCATATATATATATATATA